ATAAAAAAAAGCAGTTTGTAAACCTCGAATTCAATAGGTTTTTGAAAAAATAGAATCAAGTGTCAAAATTATTTAATTTTACGTAACATTTGAATTTCTGTACTTAATTAACAACTGTACCGATAACGAAAATAATTATATTAAACTACTCAGAAAAGAACAAAATTTTAAGAATTACTGTATTAATGATCAATTAATCATGGATAATAACGAATAATTATATCATTAAAAAGTAAAAATGAATCCTCGTCGTTTGAATTGATATTTATTTTGAATGCACTTCCGTTTTATAAATGTTCAATATTATTTCTTTCTCAGCTTTACTTATGTAAGATTTCTTCTGTCGTTTTTTAGGAGGACTTAAATCCATCGCTTTATTTTCCATATTACTCATGAAACACTTACAAAAAGACACCACGGCGAAACAAACAGCCCTCTAAAAATAAGAGTTTTTGCTTGTCTGATAGGCGCTATTTGTCATTATTCCGGCGCCAAGTAGACAGCTGTATTGCGCCAAATAGCACGCCGCTTTGTTTACTTTCGCTTTCTAAATTTTTCGTAACGCTGTGTACTACTAATCAAAAAATGAATGAATTTTTTTTAAAATATGCTTATTTTTCTTTTTGGTACAAGTTTTGTTAAGAAGTTTATTTGCTTCTGTGAGATTGTTTTTGCTGTGATAAAAAATTGCACAAAAGTTAAAAATCACAATTTACTACAACTGCAACTTACAACAAATAAATTAAAAATTTCCTCGATACTTTTTCATTAAAAAAAATGTCTAATGTGGAATTTGAATGTCACAAATGATTATTGATTTAAAAATTGTATAGAAATTATAAATAAAATGCAAAAAAAAAAAAGAAGAAAAATAATTAATTTTGAGAAGCAATTTATCAAAAGAAGTCAATAAACATAGTTTTATTTTTTTGCCTATAAATTCTATAGGTTCAATAAGTTCAGACTTGATTAATAACTGAAAATAAAGTGTAGATTTTTATAAATTTACCACCGAAAAATCATATGGTTGTCATCAAGAATTTTCCTAAAAATATAAATAAAAGTTAGAATAAAAAAAGTCCTGCTTTCCTTTTACTTACTAATAACCGGATGTAAACTGCTTTTTCAATGGAAATGACAAGAACGAACTTTATGAAAAAAATAATCAGTATAATAAAATGCAAATTTTTAATCATTTTTGGTAAAAAATGTGCATGTTAATCACGGTTAAGATTCTCTTGAAAACACTTTATTGCATATCCCAGAAAACATTTAACCTTACGACAACCTTGTATCGGAATTTTCGTTTTATTGTCACGAAAATGTTTGTACTAAAAACCTTTTTTCAAATAAAGCAAAAATATTGCAGTTTACAACCTTTCATCCCAAAAGGATTAAAAAAAATTGTTTAAACCTTTTTTTTAAAAAAAAAAAAGTATTACCACTATGGGTTCATAATGACGTCACACTAGCGATAGGATCAAATTGCATTGTCCATTAAAATTTTCAGATAAGGTGGATTTTAGCTGAAGATACCCTGCGAAAAGAAACCTTATGATGACCTAGATTTAAGATTATTTTCACCCTGAGATTAGTTTTATTAAAGGATTTTTTCACCCTTGAAATCCCTAAGTCAACCTTGATTTAAGGTTTTTATTTCAAAATTTTTTCCCCAAGGTTTTGGATGAGGGTAATGTGCGTAGAATAGAGCAGATTGTCACAGATCTTATTTTAAGGTTAGAAGGTTTACACGTAAACCGCATTAATAAGGTTTTTAGGTTTGCATTAAAAGGTTTTTTCTGAGTGGAAATAAACCTTATTTTGCTCTCTGGGTATGTTTCCTTCCCATGTTTGCAGAGTAACTGAGTCCCATTGAATTCAGAATTTTATACAAAATGGGTGCCATTTTTTTTCTATACTATATTTATGATTGTCAAATATTTCCTATTTGAATTTAATTGAATTCAGGATTTTACACAGAAAAGTTACTAACGTACTACGCACGGTGTGGCAGAAGTCAATTTCTTGGCTATAGATGGCGCCACTGGAAAACAAGAACAATCGCACCCCCTCTGCCTAAACAGGCGACAACAACAGTTAAATTTATGATTTTGAAATAATTCATCTCTTTTTAGTTCAATTCACTTCCGAATTTTACACAAAAAATAGTTATATTCATGATTTTAAAATATTTTATATTTCAATTCCTTTGATTTCAGAATTTTTCGAAGAAAAAAAGTTACCAACGTTTGCTGCAGTTATTTTTATACTTTGAAAATATTTTATGTTTAAGTACCATTGAATTCAGAAATTTACGCAAAAAGTTACCAGCTTTCAAAAAGATTTATGAAATAAAAAATATTTCATATTTAAGTTCTATTAAGTTATCCAGCTCCAAACACATATACGATAGTAAAAATTTTTTTATTTTTGAGTTTCATTGCGGAATTTGGCGGAAAAAGTTATCAACGTTTGTTACAGTTTTAAAACATTTCATATTTGTGTTCAATTCATGTTTTCGATTATTATTTTTATGAATTGAAAGTATTTCATAACTTACTTCAGTTCAAATCAGATCTTTTTTCAATAGTTACTTGCAATTATATTGGAATTCAAATTTTTCACAGAAAAGTTACCAACGTTTTCGGCAGTATCTAACACCTATATTTTACCAACATTTTATTACAATTATTTTACTAATAATATTTGTTAATTTTAAAGGATTTCATATTTTATTAAATATTATTAAATTCGGAATTCGGATATTAAATTCGGAATTTCTACACATAAACCTCTACCATTATATTCAGTTATATTGAATACAGAATTTTACACAAGAAATTAACAATGTTTTTTACCGTATATATTCAAGATTTTAAATAATATATTCAAGATATATTCAAGATTTTAAGATAATTTTCAATTACATAGAAAATTCTTTACAAAATATAAATGTTTTCTATAGTTATTTTTATGAATTCGAAGTGTCATATTTCAATTGAATTCACAATTTTTATTCTAAATATAGTGAACAACGTTTTCTACAATAATATTAAATTCTAAGTTTTACACTAAAAAGTAACAAACCTTTTATACTGTCATGATTTTAAAATATTTTATATTTGAAATCAATCAGATTCAGAATTTTACTCAAAAAAAGTACCAACGTGTTTTACAATTATTTTCATAATTTTAAAGTGCTAATTATTGTCAAAGTCAATTACCAATGTTTTATATTATATTAACATTATATGCAGAAATTTACATAAAATAAAATTATCAACGTTTTCTATACTGTAAAAAATGTCAGATCTAATTACGATAAAAATTTATTTCCTTCTGAGGGCAGCAGCGACCATAAAATCCATTTCACCGTAAAATTCACTTTTACCATAAAATTTTTGTAAATTAATTTTTACAGTAATAATACAGTATTCAATAATTTTAAAGTAAATATTACTGCAAAAATTATTTTTGTTTCGTTAAGTTTTATGGTATAAAATTGATTTTACGGTAATAAAAAGTACTGACAGCCTGATTGCGGATACTTTTTACCGTAATTTTATCCGAATTTTTTTACAGTGCACTGTTATATTTATGATTTTAAAGTATTGAAATTAAAATTGAGTTCCATTTAAATCAAAATTCTACATAAAACAAATTACTAAAATATTTATCTTATTTACTAAGTAAATATTTTCTGTAAAATTTAGAAACCTTTTGTTAAAAAAAAAACTAATGAAATAGTTAACATTTTTAGTCATATAGTTAACATATTAGTCATAAAGTTAACATTAAAATTTTTAGTCATATATTATTTTTTAACGATAGAAAATTTTTTACCATAGTCTTCTTCTCAATTTTATTTTACACTCATTCGAGTAAGGATAGAGTTGAAAATTTCATATGCAAGCTCAGAATAATTTTTTTCAATTTTTTCCATTCAGGTTTATTTTCTACAAGCGAAAAATTATCTAGAACAAATTTTAACAGAAGAAAATTCTATAGCGAGCTTATCACTTCAATTTTATTTCACACTCATTTGAGTAAGAAGAGATTTCAGAATTTCATATGTAAGCTCAGGATAATCTTTTTCCATTTTTCCCCATTCAGGTTTGTTTTTAACGAGAGAAAAATTATCATGAATAAATTTTATGCATTTTTCCTTCAATGACTCACTGCTATGCAAATAGGCGTCTATAATAACTTGAAAAACTGTTTCCACTGTTAAGCTGGTAGCTAGTATCGCACTGCAATCCTTCATTAGACTGGAAACTTCGTATTTATCTGCCAGAGCAAAAAGATGTGGTATAATATCCAAATTTTTAAAGTCTGCATTTCCACAATAAAGGTATTTCAAAAAGCAGTCAAATTCACGAGCATCGAAGTCAGTGATTTGGATGCATTTGGATTTTGATTCAGTCAAATCGCTTTCCAACATCGTTTTGAAAACTGGAGATTGAGCCATGAGAACACACTGGTGAGCTTTTAGAGTGTCTGTTCCAATTTCAAAGATTACGTCACACTTTGCCTTTGACTCATAAAGAGCTTTAAATCTAGAGCAAATATTACTGTACTTTTCGAGTGGCGTTTGCAAAATAGGGTCTGCATTGGAAACTGTGGTTTCGTCAAAACCAAAAAATGTGAAAGTGCAATCAAAAGTGAAAGTACAACAATCATATACAACAATTTTCTGATCTTTCACATGCAAAGTCGTATCTTTTAATCGGGCATTGATGAGATTGATGGAATTCCAATCGAATACAGTAATACTTTTATTTATAGTGTTCATAACAACTATGGTAGTACTAAAACCATTCTTAATATTAATTACGAATTCAACTCGGCAAGATTTCGGTATTTCTTCTTTTGATAGCTTAATGATATTCAAATTGTAATCATAATATCCGTCATCTCTTCGTATATGTGGCTCTAATTCGACAACAAATTTCAAAGGAACAGATTTCAGCGGCGAAAACTCTGGACCGCGAAGTACATCATAATATTTTAAAAAATTACTTATCTTCCATTCATACTTATAATTCACTACAGAAGTATTACTCTCCACTACAGTTTTATTCGAAGCCATGTTCTAAAAGTATTCACATCAACTATTTGCGACTAGATAAGCTTACAACTGAGACAATACAGATCTTTTATTTGTTTTAAGCTGATGTGTCTGTTTATCTTAACAACAGATAAACTTATCGTAGTAACAGCAACAAGCTGTTGAGAACGGAGTTTGTAAGTGGCGCTGCATGTAGTCACTAAAGTTATGACATCATCATTATTGTTCTTGATCACCTAATGAAATGTCACGAGCGTCAATGGCTCGCGATCTTGTTATCGTTCTTCCTTTAATAAACGTTGTTTTTTGTTAAATGAACTTGAATTATTTTTAAACTAACAACAAACCCGCATCTGGTAGATGCAACTCATAGATTATGAAGTTGTTTTAGTGTTGTTCGCAACACAAGCGTTTGAGTGTATTGTTGTCACATTTTTCAAAGTCAAGTGGTTTTAGTCAACTTTTTAATATCCTATTTCACGTCATATATTTTAACTACTTGTTTAAAATATATATATTTATCGATTTAGCAATTACTGTTTACCCTTTAAAACAGCATTAAGGACTTCGTTAAATCCGTGAATAAAAGAAAAATGTGCTTGGTAGAAAATAAAAATACTGAGATATTTTTATTTATTTATTTTTGAATATAATGACGTATAAGAGAAAGATGATAAACAGAAATGTGAATTTCCACAGGTTGATATTTATTCTAACGATTTTTTTTTTCTCTAATTAAATCCCAAAGCTTTTGAATATCATTATTGGTGAATACTTTATATAGAATGTCTCTTTTGTTCTGTTCGTTGAGAAAAAAAAAACCACGCGTTCTTAAAAAATATTAAAGAAAAGAATAAAATAGTAACGCTTTTGAAAGTAACTAAGAAGGTACTTTCAATGTTATTAATCGATTACAAAGTATTAGCGATAGTTTATTGCAGGTAAGGCAATATTTAGAAAGTTCAGGGCTAAACTTAGAGATATTAATCAAACATAATCGATAGTCGTAAAAATTAATCATGTGGTTTGTTTTATTTTATTTAGTTTTATCTTATATATTAAATGTCACATTAGGAAGTTTCACCTGTGGTTGCTTCGATTCCTCATCATTTCTTCCTCTTAAAAGTAAATTTTTTTTATTATTCTTTCTTTTTTCTTTAAAAAAAAAAAAAAGATTTGTTTGTAAAACGTATAATTATTATAATTTTATGTGAAAATATTTTCTGACACATTAATCGCAGCGAAAATAACGATTACGTGAATTAGAAAAATAATCAATGTAAAAATATATTTGCATTTAGGAATACATAAATAATATGTAGCAAAATGAGGAAATATAAATGATAAGTAATTTTATTCGATAATGATGTAAAATGGTAATCTCATATAATTAAAACATTTCGAATTGGAAAAAGCTTTTATCTCTCTTGAGTTTTTAAAATTTTTGTAAATTAATCTATGATAAATTTATCAATGTATAGTAATTTATCAATCTCTAGTAAATTAATCAATAATAAATTTTTGTAAAATTTAAAATTTCCATCCGGCAACTTCAAATCTCTTATTTTTCCTATTATTTTATTTATTAAATTTTTTGTTACTTTTGATATTGAATCAATTTAAAGGAATAAATTTTATACAAAAACTACAAATCAACATTTTCAAAGCAAAAAAAGTGTAAAAATACGCTAATATAGCACTTAAAATTGCAATAGTTTTAGAAAAAAAAAATTTAAAATTTGAAAGAAAAACTAGAGTTGAGTTTATAAATGAAAAGTGCCCTTTCAATACGTCTAGTTTCAACTTAATAGTTACATTGGAGCTGGTTGTAGATCAAACCGTATGGTACATTTTATTTTCAAGTTCACCATTTGTTAAGTCTCGAGCTAATAATCAAACCTTAATTTTTTTCATCTTACTTCTTGCGAAATACCTTCATTAGTTAAGTTTCTAAGTTCTTAAGCTTTTGACACTGCAGTTTTGTTATAACAGTAATTTAGAGGAAAGCATTTTGTTGTTTCTAATGCCACTTGCTAATACCGGCGAGCCGCCTGCTTTGTGAAACCAAGCTAATTTAAGGCAGAGAGTACAACAGCTCTAGTGCGACGTAAATTAACTACAACAACAACAGAGAGTACATTTTTTGTCTTTCAGTAGCGACATCTATGATCAAGAATACGACTTCAGCCTCACTTACGTCACAACCAGTTTGAAGGGCGGACTCAAACATACATCCACCGATTGTAATTTTGACTTGAACAAGAAAACGATCAATCTTCAATTGAGAACCACCAGAGGTTTGATTTGTTATGGGAACATGAAGGACTTTTTGAGCTGACAGATTCAACGTGCAGCAGCCACTATTTACTACACGGAGATGGAGAGTCAGCGGCCGGTGGGGATCGAACTCACGAACCCCTTAAACATTCGCCCAAAGCCCTACCTACCAAACTATCCCGGCATTATATTGGTGGTTGGAATAGTCAGCAATTATGACGCCATGATGGCTCAGGGGATAGATCGTTCGCCTTCCAATGAGGTGAACCGAGTTCGAATCCCAGCGATGGCTGATCGATGCGAATTCCGCAACTTGCACCGACCGCAGAGCTGACGTAAAATATCCTTAGAGGTAGACGGATCATGAGTTAGAGTTGCTGATAAAGTCATCGGATTCTCGCGTATTGCAATAAAATTTCACTTTAAAATTTACTTTATCGATCCTGTTACACGAAAACCGACCATCACTCCTGCAGTAAATTTTCTACGTAAACGACGTTGTAATTTACGCTCTGGTTTTAAAAACCTATACGATTCAAAAAACAAATGTCTGCCGCAACTATTTCCGACGATTCCAAAAACTATAAAAAGGGCGTTCATCAAGAAACGACAATTATGTTATCAACATACGACCTGAGGTCCTCCACTCGAAACTTTAGGTCGATAAATTAATCGATCGACAACTATATAAATTTCTTAAGGAAAATTAACAATCTCATTAACTTGTCAAGAGTTACAAAAAAACATGAAAAATAAAGAAAAAACGAGACTGATGGAACGTTAATAAAAGTAGGTTTAACTTAAATTCATTTAATGCATACTAAATGTTTTTGTTAAGAGCACCATCTAGAAAACAAAAGAAGTGGTTTTATATTTTATTTTATAACCGTCGTTTAACAGACGACCCAATTTAGGGTTTACGAATACTAATGTTCAACTCCGTAGGCTTGTAAATTTAAACTCATTCCAGAAGACAAGGGAACTTCTGGATCAAGTATTGGTAGAAATTTGCCTTCATGGAGAACTTTTTACGAAACCAGCATTTACTATATTTTATGGAACTAACCCGCATTTACGTTACATGGAGAGGAAAAATCCTGTAAACTTCCCGCTGTTAGCCTGACGGCAAGGGGACTCTAACCCATAATCCGTTTATCACTGGGGATATTTCACGTCAGCTCTGTGAGCGGCGCTAGCCGAGAGCGGAATTTGTATCGACCAGCCATTGCTGAGATTCGAACCCGGTTCACCTCATTAGAAAGCGAATGCTCTATTCCCTGAGCCAACACGGCTCGCGTGGATCATTTGAAAAATATCGACTTATATGGAAAAAAAGAAATAAGAATGCTTAGCAACCACGGTGTTGCTGAGCGGAGCGAACAGGGGTTGGAGGTGTTCCTGTTCAAAAAGTCGAATACTTTTTCTATAATATTATTTTTCTTTTATGTTATTTTTCTTTTATATTATTTTAATTTTGAATGAATTGTTTCATCTCTTAGTTTATTATTGCATATTAGATCAAAAGGAGTGTAAAGAATTATTAAATAAAGAATTTGCAAGTTAAATACTAATGAACTTTCTTGAAAAAGGCATGTGTAATCTTATATAAAATACATACGTTTAAAAAGAAAAACAATCTGGTATTAAAAAAAGTTATTTTGCTTAGAGAAATACATGTTGTACCAATATCCTCAAAATTCCAGGTAACAGGGGTGATTCGAGGTGAAAGGGAATTTCCCCTCTAAGATACATCTACGCGCGTCACTACGGTTGAATTTGATTCGATCATTTAATCATGCTCGATGAGCTTAATTTTTATTTTTACTATTTGTTTGCTTGCTTAAATAGCTATTTTGGGCCTATTATTTTAATTGCAGTTGTGTTAAAATTAAATCTGAGTAGTTATAATTGTACTTATTATAATTGTATTTATTATTGAAAACTATTATTTATAATTATAACTGTATTTATTATTAAAATTATTATAAAAATAAATATAGAAGATACGATTTAATACAAAACAAAATTTAGAGAAAACAAAAATACCTCTTTCAGCTTTATGCTTTTTATCTCAAACTAACAGAATCGAAAATAACGCAAAAATAAGGTAGGGAAAGTGAGGTGAGACCGGGCTGCTTAGATTCGATGGCCTGTTCGAAGCTAAACTATTTAACTTAGAAACTTAGATTTAATCAAGATATGCATTGTTTAATTAGTGTACAATATATGACTTTCTTGTAAGGTCATAAATGTGCGACTTTTTTTATAACTCTATTTTTGTATGACAAAAAAGTCAGCTGATCTTACCCCACTGACAGGGTACACATGTTAACTATGGAAAATGTAATTATGCATGTTAACTATAGTAAATTTAGAAATATTAGAATTTAAGTGAAAAAGTAACATTTGAGAAATTTTGAAGATTAAATTACTTTCCGGTCCCCTAATATTTCCTATTACGAAATTATCTTGAGCCCCGGGACTGTTGATGGTCCGACCGAAATTTCGTATAAAAATTTAGTATTTATTAACACTTGAAAGACTGAAACTTATACCTATATTGCCCTATTTGCCAACAATTTACATTATTAAGTTTAACGCTTTAGTTCGTGAAAATCCGATCATAAGAGCAAAAGTTATTTATGTTGATATTTGTTTGGGCTCATTGGCAATACCTAAACCTAATTTAGGTATTGTGGTTATCGATTTGTTGCAGCAGCCCGCCGACGCGGATAAGTACCAATAAAAATTTAATAAACATACTGATTGTTAAAAAAAAAAAGACTATTTACAGAAAAATTACAGGGGAATTTGCATAATGAATTTGAATCGGAGCGGTTGCTCCTTTGGACTTCTCCTCGCCTGAATATATAAACATAGAACAGTTCTAAGCGTAAAGAGTTACGGTTACATTTTATTACTGCTTCGGTGGATCTCCGATAGAGGGAGTGGCTAGTTCGTAATACTGATGACACCTGAAGATCTGAAACTCTTTTGTATATCATGCGATTTACTTGTTCAATAAGAATAGCAAGCAAAAGCTAGTTAATTGATACTATGAAATTCGATTTTAGAGCCGAAAAAAACCCATAAAGGTATATCGATAAAAGAAATGAAAAAGAAACTCTCGTTAAATAAACAAAAAAGATATTTCTTTATTTCGAATCTTAATTTGATTAGGTTTTGATATTAGATTCGTGCAATCTAAATTTATCAAGAAAGGTCTTCTTTTTGCTTAATTGGAAAAAAAAACCTAGACAGTTTGGTGCTCAAATAATTTCTATGATGAAATTTATTGAACTAAAACAAGGAAATGCAGGATAAAATTCTTAGAAGTTTTAAACTGTTGGAATATACATTTGCATTTATTTTTATATTTCATGATTCTCCTTTATTGTTGTATAATAATTACACGGTAAAAAATTTATTTCCGTTTTTTATCAGTTTAAATCGTCTGCTTTTTATTTGTATGCTACATACATCAATTTATTAAAAACAAACAACATTGAAAAAGAGCTTTACATAAAACTTAAATTTATTTCCCCCCAACATTCTCTCTTTCAGAGCTTTGACCTTGCCTCGTCAATTTAATTGGCTGTTTTTATACCACGTGGCAAATCACTTGAAGCTTGGGAATTCTGTCGGTTTCGGTTCGGTTTTGCTATATTGACGTCAGATAATTTGTGAATCATGACTGGGCGAGGTACCAGAAATGAAAGGTGCAGTGATACTTCGATTATCAATTATGATTTTCACTGGGAAATAGAAGATTTTACTACCAGAAGGCATAATAGGTACGGTGATATGTTTCGGCCTTTTGAGAAAAATGGTCCAGTATTTAATTCCGTTGGGTATGTTATTAATCCCAGCTTTAGAATTAGTTATACGAGTGTAGGATATTCTAGCGAAAAAGAAACATGTCAATTCCTTTTACATATTGATGGCATGAAGCCGGAAGACTTGACAGTTCAATTTAATATTGTAATTCGATCCGTTTCAGGGCCATGGATTGAATATTCACGTAATGAAACACATTCTGCTAATAGCGGAATGCAGTTGTGTACTGTTGTGACTAAAGGCGCAACTTTGAGGGTTGCTGATAAAGTCATCGGATTCCCACGTGAGCATGATTTTATTGCAATGAAATTTCACTTTAAAATGTTCTTTATCAATTATGCACCAAAACCAACAATCACACCTCCAATAAATGTTCCACGTATTAAACGATGTAATCTATGCTCTGATTTTAAAAACCTGTACGATTCGAAAAAAATGTCTGACGTAACTATTACTGTTGATGGTGTCACTCTTCTCGCCCACAAATTAGTGCTTGTGACCCGCTCTTCTGTTTTTGCAGCTATGTTGGACCATGATTGCTTGGAAGCCAATACGAATAACATCCAAATCACCGATGCAGATGCTTCATTTTTTGATAATTTTTTAAAATATCTCTATTGCAGTGAAATCGGTGACAAAAGTTATGATATGGTTCGTAATCTGTACATGCTTGCAGATAAGTATGCGGTTGATGGTCTTAAAGAAGATTGTAGGGACATACTGGAATCTGAATTAAATGAAGGTACAGTTTGTCAACTTCTGGAGATATCCCATTTGTTTAAGGATGAAACTTTGAAAGAAAAGGCGGTTAAATTTATTAAACAACATTTTTCTGTTGTGAGTAAAAAACCAGAATGGATAAAAATATGCAAAGATCATCCCGAAATGGCATCAGATGTTCTGAGAATAGTTACCTCGTTTTTGGATCAGTCAAAATCAAAAGTACGACCATCTCCATATTTATATAACTTTCTTTAATTGTTAAATTGATTTTAATTAATGCTGATTGCTTAAAAGTTTTTTTTTTTAAATATTTTTCCGGATAACACATTTAAAATTTTAGCTTGGTCAATAATTATTTTTGAAATGTATTGTATTTTCTTATTTGTTGATTAATCATCGATTTCAATCCCATATTGTTTAAAAAGTGAATAACTATCATCTAGGTTAATTTTTGAGCTAATAATGTAATTGAAATATGTGCTTATTTTATTTGACAAATTATTAAATTTATTTAATATATGGTCACAAATTTTGGAAGAATACTTGATTGAGTGTATTAAGTTAGTAATATTTTTTATTTAAGCAATATTATTTGGTACTAATTTTTGCTGGAAATCGCAAAATATATGCCTTTTTTCCATCTTAAATAATTTAAAATAGAATATCCCTTCTTAATTTAATAATGCATTTCCCTTAGTTTTTGAAAGTTTATAAAGTATATATTACAAATATTAGATTTTATTGTTCAAATAGTTATTTCAAGAAATTATTTTAGCAATTTCCCATTATGTTCTTGATGATTACTGAAGAATTAAGTTTTTCTTAACTCCTTATTTTTATTGCAATTTATTTAAATGATTATCCAATAAGAAATCAAATATATTTAACATGATTTCGTATCATAAAAGAATTTTCAATTAAAAATTTGTATTAGATAAATTTTGTTTCTATTGCTTAAGTATTACTTTTTAAACGTTATTATACCCACGGTATCACACACTTAAAATATTTTATTTATTGATTAATAAAATAAATAAATAATTCCTCCTAATTGATAAACTAAATTATAAATGTAAAATTTTGTGATATTCGTAGAAACAATAAAACCTCTCTCAATTGTTTATATTCTAACTTGTTTGCATTCATATTCTATCAGTTTTCATTATTTTACGAATGTTTCATCAACATGTTTTTGTTTACAGTTTTTTATAGTCTTGTATTCTTATATAATATTTTATTAATTTCCCTTTATAAGCATTTTTTATCACTTTTTAATGATATGTGTTTTTTTATTTGTCTTTATAACTAAATTTTCTATTAGTTTGCATTGATGTATAGTGTTTATCAATATAGTATTGCCTGTATATGTTTCCATTATTGTCTAGTGTTATATACATTAGCCACTATTTGTAGAACTTCATGTTTGTTTTACAGAGGTATGTAGGGTATGTATCAAAAGCCCCTAATCTGGAACACCAATTTAATTGATACATAAGCATTAGTTTTGAGGCTTAATTTAAAATAAAAAATTTTTCCTAATTTTTAATTTTTCAAAGATTGATAAAAGAAATATCTAGAAGATCAATGGGAAATTTCATCTAAGCCTAATAAAAAAAAGCTTTTAAAAAAAAAAAAAAACTTTTTGTCAATATAAAATTTTTTGGAAATTATTTACCTATATTTTATGGAAACTCTAAGTTGAAAAAACTATTTTTTTCTGTTTATTTCAATTTTATTAACTTCCTTTTGCACTCTAAGTTTCATTTTAAAAATAAAGTAAATTTAGAAATTTTAATTAAAAATCATGATATTTTTAGCATTAAATGAAAAAAACTGGCTTATTTTGAGAATGATCTTAGGAACGCAAGTTTTTACAAATAATAAGTTTATCAACTCAGATGAGTAATTTACTTAAGTGTAAAATGTATTAGTTATTTCTGTATTTGAGTTCTGAATAATTAATTTCATTTCAGTATAAATGATTACAATTTTAGCTTAATAAACATTAATTATTTTACAAATTATATTAATATGTAATGGAGTTTCCTGCCGAAAGCTATTAATAAGGCAGAATTTGCTATCAGAAATATTTTTTGAACTTAAGAAAAATTAAGATTTTATTGATGTTCCGAATAAAAGATAATTTTATAAGGATTCCAGCCAGCAGTTTCAGCCAAACAAGATAGTTTCAATCAACTATTCCAAAATAATACCAAGAGTATATTTGCATATTCTTAGAAAAATAAGTAAAAAAATTATATGTATACATATATTTGAGATTATTATGCATGGTGCACCCATAGGATTCCTTTGAAGATCTCTTCTTTAATTTCTGTCTATATGCTTAATATGCGCAGGGTTCGTAGCGTTTTTGAAAAAGTGCTTAAGGGTGCTTATTTTTGATTTACGTTTTTTAAAGCCTTTAAAGGTCCCTTGATTATTCGTAGAAAGTGCTTAATTTTATCTCTTTTGAAATGAGATATTTTTTTCTTTGCCATGCCGATTGTCGTGTAAATTATAAAGGACGCTTCTTTTTCACAATTTTCTCTGCAATATTTATCAGAATCTTGTTATTTTATCATTTTTGAATTTAATTGATTTTATGATTATAAATTAAGATCTTAAATCGATATAGAAAAATATTTTTTATTACTGCAAACATCCTAATTATGATTATTTTGTAAAGTGATGAAAAATATTTTTCGAGTGCTTTAAAAGTACTTAAAAGGTGCTTATTTTTTGTTTAAAATCTGGCTTCGCACCTTGATGCAGCTTACAAATTTTAAATTGATTTTCTTTGCCTGTTTGCTCAATTCAGGTTATTTTTGTAAGGAATATTAAATTTCCGTATTGTGATTTGCGGCAGAATAAACGCCAGCCAAGTCGGGACAACTTATGGGCAGCGGTCCACATTTAAAAACAACAGAAATGGAGACCAACTCACAGGTACTGGAATCTCTCTACCCACGCGCAGACGTGTACATGTTTTTTCTTTTTTATTAATTTTTCAAAATTGCCAATCCATTTGGCACCTTGGCGATTGTAGTTTGCGCTACAGATAACGATACGAATATATTCCCCAAAGCTTATATATAAATTTAAGGAGAAAAAAAAACTAAAACAAATTCGCTATTGAAATCTGTTGCACAAGCATGGCAGAATAAAAAACACCAATGCTAGTTGGATTTTCTGTTGAAACTCGAAAATCTTTTTAATACTTTCATTTGAGTCCTCTCTATTTTCTCCGCATGAAAACAGGTTTTGTTGTTAACAGTTCCGTCTATTTCAGTTAATGATTCTTTAGATTTCGATTGCGTTTTTGTTTTTCATCATTTACATATTAATTTGCAACCAGATATGCGTGTTCATTTTTGACAAGATTCTAAAACTGTATCTTCATCATAGGCATTATACATTATTATAGAACACCCTATTGCCATTATTCTTGTGGATCTTCCTATTGCTATTATTTTTAAGATTTGCATCCATAAACAATTTATGTTTTTAAGAAATACAAGTTTTTCTTGATTGTTTTATTCTTCTACAAATAATGTTTCCTGTTTTGATTTTAGCTGAAGCTTCATTTCCTAAAACTATGTAATTCCTTGTATTTGTAACATGAAAGTTTTTTGATAACTTTTGAACTTGTTAATTTACTAATAAATTTAGTCTACCACTGCCTAGTTTGTCTGTCTAGTTTTTAATATCTATTAAATAATTGAATTGTTATTTATTGTTAAATAAATACAATATTTATAGTTATGTTTTCATTCAAAAATGTAGTTCTTTTACTATTTTAACTATTAACTTTTATTTACAACTTATAATTACATTTGATACAAAGTCATTTGGCACTAATTGATTTTATGAAACTACTTTAATACAGAGTTTGCTTTTTATCAAATATGAAACCAATTTTTTCTAGGACACAGGAAGTGGTAAAAACCTGAAGAAATAGAAGAAACTAAAAATGAACAAATATAATTTTTTAAGTATTTAATTAATTGTTCAAATTTAAGACGTTACATTAAATCTAGTGTAAGAAAGTAAAATTTGCTTCATTTCATTTAAAAAAAAATTTTTTTTTTCATGCTTTAGTTTCATACAGAATTTTTAAAAAGTATAGAATCTATTACTATTTATGTTGAATCTGAATTAATACAATCCATATTTTCCAAAACAAATGTGTACATTTATATCCAGAAAAATAATGTGTACTTTTATTTTACGGAACATTCTGTGAAAAAACCATTTAATATATATATATAAAAATTATGACTGAATAGGAAATTGATTAAAAAAATGTTTATTTAAAAACTAATATTTTGCAGAATAAAATTTCGACTGTTTATGTTTTTTTAATGTTTAATGCTTTTTTTAAAAAACTAATAAAATAACAATTGAAATTGAATTGAAATTAAAATAACAATTTTGTTTTCCATTAATTTTCCTTTCTTAAAACACAAACTTACAAATGGATGGAAAAAACTTACAAATTTTATTGAGCAGCTGACACAATTTTTTAGAGTTTACGGTTACCATTGTTCAACTCCGTACCCTTGTAATTTTTAACCGGAATCCAGAAGACAAAGGAACTCCTTGGTAAATATTGGAAGAAATTTTGCTTTCTTGGAGGACTTTTTGATGGAACTAACCCGCATTCGAGTTACATGTAGAGGAAAACCACAAAAACCTGTCATGGTTAGTCTGAAAAATCCGGTTTTTCGTAAGCTGCCGACTTCACTTTGCAATATGCTTACAAAGCTTATTGCAATCAGCCTGAGAAATGACGTCACCAGTGTGCAAGTTCTTGAATTTTGGTTGCATTTCAACATATTTAAATTGAAGAAACTGTATATAAATCGAAGGTTTGTTAAAATGAATATGTTACATATTGTTTGAACTTCATGTAATCACTTAGTACTAAGCTAGAGTAAAATAATAATTCTGGCAGTTTTGGAGGTTGGTGAGCTCAGTAAGTAGGGGATGGAGATCTCTAATACTACATTTTCGGAATGAAAATATTTTTTTAGTTTCACCCTCCAAAATGTGGGGGTAATGTAATCTGGAAAATGAGGAACCAGTAGATAAGCCAAGAGAGCGAACAAAGTTTTGGCCCCTTAATGTGATTTTCACTTTTTAAATATTTTTCCCTATCTTGAAAACTTAGTTTAAAGAAGTTTAAAACTTTTGCACACAAATATAAAAATTGTATATCCAAACAGAAGTCATACGAGAATTATTTTTTTAATTAT